CCCCCCCGCCCCCCCCCCCCCCCCCCCCAATAATAAACGTACCTTCCCTTACTGCGCAGTAAAACTAGTGCTGTTAATAAAAAGGTTGGTAATACGTGATATTTTCAAAGAAACTGTTTTATATTTAAAGTGAAGATACTTAAAGAAGTCAGGTTCGCACAAAATTTATGAATTCTTCGCGAAATTCAATTTGTTCGGAATAACGGAAGCCAGAAACATTCACTAAGTATCGATGTCAGGTGCTCAGTATCCGGACAGTGTTGTTTTGCTGTACAGAATCGTTGATTTAGTTGCGTGTAATCGTAAAATGCAATTCTACTCAACTCCTTATGGTAATTTTCTTACCTCATTCAGAGGCGACTTGATTTCGTGTACACGACTTGTTTCGCGTGACTGCATTTTCTATATACATGTATAACCGGAAGTGTCGGAGTTGAACCAGGAATTCACATACTTTCCCCAGTTGTGACTGCTAGAATGGGGTTGCAACGGTCTGAAAAATGTCTCAAAGGGGTTGAGAGATGTGAAAGAAGGAGGAATCAGTCAGGGGCACCCAACGTCAATTTTCGGAAAAAATATGTTCGGAAGACGATTTGAGATCTGGAATTTTCGGAACATTTGTTGTAAAATTTCTTTCTTGCCTGCCTCTCCTAGGATTTTCGAACATGTAAAAAAAGGTATAACTGCCCATTTGTAACGGATTTTTACCCTAAAAAGGTCACCTAGAATTTTCGGGAGCCTTTTAAGTTTTGATCCCTATAATTTTCGGATCACTAGACTTTCAGCTAGGAAATCCGAACATATGAAAAATTTTAGGGGATGAAAATACGCCTATATCTACCGTTTAAATACTAAACACGTTTAACAATGCTATGTTTAAGTGGTTTGAACTATATTCTCGTTGGGTGCCCCTGAAGAGTATTCAAGTGCCTGAACTTCTGCTTTCAGACCTTACAAAGAATGCGAACTGAGGACTCAGCAAATACTAATGAGGGCTAAGGCCATTGACAGTCTTGGAGCTCTGGCAAATAAATTTGTCCACTTCAATGGCAACGATATTCTGTTATTCATAAAAGACCTGGTGAACTCTGGAAAGTGGCAACTTACTTTTGGCAATGAAAGAAACCTCCTGTTTCAAGCGATGAACACTCGCAGCAGAGTACAACAGTTGTAAGGACAAGGACATAAACAAAGAAATCAGGAAAAATGCTGCTAAACAAAGTCAAAAAAAAGAAAGAGAAATATGCGAATTCAAGGTGGATTTTAAGAAATCTTTTTCTTGGCGTTCTAATCTAAGTAATGGTGACACAATTTCTGCCTACAAAAGGTCTGAAAGCGGGTATGGATTTTAGAGGCCAGGTCTGAAAACGTACCAGTGTGGAAAATGTCAATTTTTGGGTCTGAAGTAGGGTCAGGATTTGGAGAACCAGGCGGAACACCTCCACCACGAATTCCCAGGAATACCTCCCGGCCCCCCGGGGGCGATTTGATATTACTGTATCGTTCTGAGTTTTTAGGCGGTCCTCTCTCATCAGCTCTAGCTCCAGCTCCGGCTTAATTTCCCAGACTAAGCGAGTTGTAAAAAATCACGATTCGAAACGTTTGAAAGGAGGCGAAGTTAGGTTTTCATTGACGTTTTTCACTACCGTTGCCGATGTCCAATCGGCAGATCCCTCATAAGAACCAAAACCAATGAGGAAGAGGGAGGACCCTCGAAACGTCTGGATTTTGGTACCTTTTCAACACACATTTTGATAAACTTTGTAAAAATAAATAGATCCCTAATTTTTGATTCGACTGCTTCGCTCTGTGATTTTGGAATCAGGGATGTCAGCAACAATCAGTCGTTTTTGCAAAGACTGCGCTAGTCTCCTTCCAAAGCTTGCCTTCAGCAGCTATTTTATTAGTTTCTGATTTCCCGGTAACTTTGCTGGAGGTAAAGACCTCCCGTAAAGTACGGGGCAAGTTACTACCACTTTCAAAAAAGGGGCCCAGGGCCCAGTAACTATTCGGGCCCGTGAGCGAACTTTAAATTTAAAACCCACTGAATAGTAGCAAATTTTCTTGCTCATAACCAGTCAATTTTGCTTCGTTAACTAATAGTTTGACTTCTTTGTATTATTTTCAATTATTGAAACTTTGATTGTGAATCCCAACACGGTAAATGCATAAAGCCATTTTTCGGGCCCGAAAAGATACCGGGACTTTCGAGAAACAGGCCCCAGGCCCGTAACGTTGGGAAAAGAACCTCTAGGAAATATAAGGTAACTGTGTTCTCCTCTCCCCTTCGAGTGTTCCCCTCGGGCAGCCTGTAAAAAAAACATCAACGGGACCTGCTACGCATGTACTTAATTGAAAGGATAAGGTTCGGTCAAATGAAAAGTTCGACGTTTCAACTGGGACTTACGAGAAGTGGTCGTTTACGAGAGGTTCTAACTACATGTATGAGGCTTTGACTTGGAAAATTTGGTGTCTTGGATAAGTGGTTGCTTATGGAAGGTGGGCGCTTACGAGAGCCGGTCGCACACGGAGATTCAACTGTACAGTGTACACTGTACATGTACTTAAGACAAATAGCCCTACGAATAACGGTGCGCTTTTTTGGAAAAAAGTCTCAGGTTGAGATTTTAAAGTAATTAAGACGGAATCCATTAGGAAATTGAGTAATTTTGTTTTGAGTGGACAGAAACCTTGTACCAGAATAATTTAAAGCATATTGTGTTCTTTTATACGGGGCTAAAGATGTAATTAGTTATCTGTAATAACACCAAAGAAAATTTCTCATTGGAGCCCAAGAAAACGAATGACAAATTTCACAAAAATTTGGCATTTATTTTCTCGCGCCCCTATGAGAAATAGTCTTTGGTGTTATTACAGATAATAAATTAAAATTATCTGTAGCCCTTGAAAAAAGTAAAAAAGAATACAGTATTGTTTAAATTATTCTGGTACAAGGTTATTGTTCACTGAAAGTTGAAATTACTCAATTTCCTGATGGATTCCGTCTTAAAATGTCACAAGAATTAAAACTTTTATTTCTTTGTTTTGTTTGTTAGTTTGACTGTTTGGTTTTTTGCATATCCTTCTCGTACCAAGGGCGGATCTAGAGGGAAGTTGCAGGGGGCAAGCAACCCCCGCCCCCCCCCCCCCCCCCCCCCCCCCCCCAACCAAACCCCGGCGTTCTCCAAAAACTCTCCTTCTTTTTTTAAATTTTTTTTGGTCACCCCCCACTTCCCCCCTTCCTCAAAAAAATCCCTAATACGCCCCCTGGTATGGGACTTTTACCCCCCCACTAAAAAGGTTGTCACTGTTAATAAACCCACTACTTGTTCCAAAGGGGGCAAGCCACCCCCGCCCCCCCCCCCTCCCCCACCCCACCCGCTAGATGAACTGCGGCTTTCTAATACAACTGGTCTTCTGTATTAAAATTTGCTTAGGTCACCAGTCAGTTACGCCATTCCTAAGAAAAATCCTGGATCCGCCCCTGTGTATGGAATTTCGACTCCACCATTAACAGGGTTTACACTGTATAGACACCACATGATTGTATGAAACTTTACACTTACATCCTGAGGTGATATTTGACATCCTTTCTACAAGTTTGTCACACTGTTCCTCCCAGCTGTACTCTCCCGCATAAGCTTCACGTGTTTTTTCAATCTCTTTAAGACGCATCTTCCTGTCTTTGTGACGGACAGCTTTGATTGCCCGGGCCCAATCTCTAGGATCTTCTGACTCCACAACAAAGCTTAAACCATAAGGAACTTTCTTCAAAGCCTCGCCAAGACCAGAGTTCCCACTGACCAGCACAGGCAGACCAGCAGATAAAGCCTCAAGGGTAGCTAGACCAAAGCCCTCAGTTCGCGAAGGCATTATAGCAAGATCTACTTCACAAAACAACCGAGCAAGTTTCTCCCTGCTTTCACAAAAGCAACGTACAGTTAGTTGACGTCGATCAATGCCTTGCTGGAGTAACAAATATCTTACTTTCTCCTCTTCTCCACGTGGTGCACCAACAAAAAAGAGTTTGTAGGGTTGTGGCTCGTCTTTCAACTCAGCAATAGCGCGAGCAGCGATGTCATATCCATTTAGTTTAAAATCTCCATTGTCATCAGGTCCAAACATCAAAACACTAAACGTTTTTCTTTCTTCAGTGGCTTGCATCACATCAGAAAATTCAGAGAAGATGCCTGTGGTAAGCTCGAGAACATCTTGATCCTTTCCACAAGAACGGAGATCATGTCTGAAAACATCAGCCAACTTGGGTCCAACTGCTACAACTTGATCAGCTTTTTCACAGAGTTTCACCTCATCCTGGTGCAATTTCTCAGCTCTTAAAATAGCATGGGACCTGTACATATCCAGCTCCTCAGGAGCTGTGTGAACAATCTGTATCCACTTGCACTTATGATAACGTTTGATAAACTGTACTTGCCGACCAAGAACAGCCCCATATCCTACCACACAGTCCACAGCATGGCCTTCAGGTAGATAAGACAACCAGTCAATTGGGTTTTCATAACATGGCATTGCTTCTGCTTTAATAAGAAGGGCATTGTAACTTGCGGCATCTTGTTTATCCTCTTCACTGCACTGAGGAAGATAAACACTGACCTCCACGCTGGGGTGTTTCGCCAACTGAATGGCAAGCTCTCGGTTGATGGTTGACACGTCTCCTTTTGTTGATCTCCATTCACTGCTTAACAGAGTAACTTTTAATTTCCTGTAGGAAGTGGATCCTGAATTGTTTTCATGGTCTTCCAGTGATGAAGAGGCTGTGCTAGGAAAGGATGACAAATCCTAAAAGAAGAGTAGCATGAAATTTACTAACAAACTTTGTACAAACTGTAATAATTATTATTACAACTAGTGTATAAACTAATGAAAGTAATAAGTAATGAAACTCAAGTATCATCCTTCACTTCTATTCTGTTCTCCTGTTTATAAGGTTTGGACTAAAATGACAAGAGGAGGAGGTAAGGAAACATCAGTCTATTAGTATTGCTAACACGAGGTAAGCTGTTTTGTTCACCCATCAATTTTTCCCATACAATTCAAATCGTTATTGTTTTGACTGCTGTACAACTGTGACAAATGGTACACTTCGTTTTATTCAAAGGTTGACAACCTGTGGTATTACATGTACATGTACATACATATCTCCAAAACAAAAGGGAAAAAGGTTCAGCCAACATGCATTATAATCTAACCAAAAATAGCATTTTATGTATTACAGTTGCACATCTCAAAAAATTAGTATACTTACAACACTTACAAACTTTACTTGCTTTTAATATAATTTATGTCACTGGAATGTCACATCTTTGATTAGGGGTAGGGGAGGACAAAAACAACTTGCATTAACAAATTGTAGCCAATTCTGTCCTCATAGTGATGATAAAATTACATGTACGTCATTTGGATCAGGGATCCACAGCACTTGGAGATAGTTTCAAAAAAGCAACAGTTACAAAAGCTTGTTAAAGTCAAAATACGAGTAAAAAAAACAACAGAAACACAGGGCAAAAAAGTAGAACAATGTTATTGACAATAACTTTTCCTGCTTTGTCATTGGCTACTAAACAAAAGGTAAAATGTAAGGTGTCTCATTGGCTAAACATTTGACAGGTTGAGTCATGCCACTGCCTTGGATAAATTACGAATTAACTTGTTTTCCAACTTCAGAAAAGAATGAGATCAATCATGTTTATTGTCTTGAAAGACGGGGGCATTTTAGGGTAGCATGTAGTAGTACACATGTACATTTGTAAACCAGCCCAAGGTTAAAAATTATTCCAAGGAAAGATAACTTGGCACTGTGGTTGAATGTGGTACAGTAGTCCACAACTGCAATTCGCCCAGCAGTATGTGGCCAGTAAATAAGCCTGCATACATGTAGCTGGCCGTTTAATTGGCAAGCAAGCGTACTTATACATGTAGTGATGAAGGGACTAGGTGTTTCTGACCCGTTCTCCCCATGGCTTCATCACTCGTTTGCACCCCCCTTTATTCTACTGCCTCTCACCGCCAGATACGCAGGCTACCACTAAACATTACGGTGTACGTCACTGCAGACCAGTAAGAGAGATAAAGTGAGAAACAATTTCCTGTCCAAAAAGAGGAAGTGACAGGTCTTAGAAGGCTCAAATCAGACCTTCTAGGATCTTAAGACTGAAATGACCCCCCACCCCACTCACCAACATTCAGACAGTGGGAAAAATGAAAACATGGAAGTGTAAAGAAACCTTGTCAATCAACCTTTATTTGACCAGCACCGAAGTTTATATGAATAATAGTTATTTGTACCTCCATCTGCAGCCTGGAGATCACAGGAATCCTAAAAATTGTTCACCACTAATGCTGCAACAAGAACAGAAGAAGAGAGTAACATGTAGTAAATAGTCCTGTGCACAATGTTATCTAGTAAGGTTCAAGATGGATGAAACGTTTGGACTGCCAGCCATAGAGTACTTTTAAAATAAGTACTCTATTCTCTTATCACTTACCAGCAATTCTAGACAAAGTTAGAACACTATCAGGACGATTCACGTAAATTTTTTCAAAATTAGAGGGAAATTGGTAATTTCATACATTGTACCATGCCCAAGGCCACTCTAGTTGTGAAATTACGTTTCAAAACTAAAGCAGTATATTTTTGTTATTATCAGGGAATCTCTCCGAGGTGATTAAACAAATTTCTGGAGTGTAAGAGAAGTCTTTCGAATTTCCAGACGACAAGGTATTATTTAAGCTTAGTCTCCAGCCATGGGTGTCTCAATGCACCCACAGTACTCCCCACCCAACCGCTGGGTGCCCAGGCTAAGTTTCTTGTACATGATGTCATGATGTGACGATTTTTTCTCATGAATGCGAACCATCTCCCATAGAGAGTTTTTTTTTTTTTTTTTGCGTAGCAAGATTAAAAGTGTACTGTTTAACAGTAATAGAAGACACAGATAGAAAGGGAGAGTTCAAAAGAATATTCAGTTTCCTTTTTGTAGGAAAAGAAAAGCTTCAATGACTTCAACCAAGTTTTCTTCACGACAGAGCATTTGTCCTGTTTTGAAACACAACCAAACTCAGCAAAGTTTGTAAAGAAATTTCAGGTTCACTTTTCACATAATGGCCAAGGACATTATTACACTTTCAAAAGGGAATTTGTGTATGACTATTTATAAATGTTTGATAGACGGTTTATTCATTTTGACTTTGGCTTTAAAGAAAAATTAGAAATTGAGCCCTGATTTTGACATTGATTTTATAAGTGTTAAATTTTGCCATGTGCTCTTTTATAAATTTGCTTGATCCCATCCACACGATCAAATAAGTGTTCTGCCAATTGGCATGTTTTAAAGAAATTTACCAACCCCTCAATCCAGTTTTTCTCATAGAGCAGTATAGGAGCTATATATAAGCAAACTGTGCAAAAGAAAAATAACCCTACATACTTCATAACAACATGGAGATAGAAGAAGCTTGGGAAAGATTCATCGTAAATTCATTGTCAATGGGGAATAAGTACACAAAATTAAAAATTAATACTAGAAATACGTGTATCGCAGAACCTCGCAAAGCTCGGGCGGGGAGAGAACAAGGCCCATAAAATGTCAGAGATGGAAGGGTGAGAGAATTGGAGTAAAATAATCATGTAGCTTGGGAAGGCGAGTTTCAACACTGGCTCTAATATTGGAGGGTGAGATTTAGTTAATCTCCTTTTGGTTGGAGTAAATTGCAACCCAGTGCTCTCTCATTAAAAAGGATTTTCTGGGATTTAAACAGGGATGGAGTTGTTATCGAAGGGTAGCCAATGTTTAATAGGTCCCGTGTTCACCCCATTTGACTCTCCTACATGTGTAATTTACAGTAAAAAAAATGAGTGTGATAGTGAATAACTGCAGGCAAATATGCAGCTAAAACCCATGCTATATTTAATGTGTAAGAATAATGTATTACTTGTGAAGTGTGTCATTAGTAGTGAGTGGATGAAATGGTAGGAGATAATACTGCAGTGAAAATAACAAGTAAATTCTGGTAATTGGAGAAAAAAATATTTATTGTTAAGTAAACTGCAGCAAGAGAGTGTTTGTACTTGTTGTAGTACATATTCACACTTGACAACTAATATTGTTTGTAACAGTAAGGTGCAAACAACTATTCACTTACATGTACACTAAACTAGAAACATGTAGTGAGATATTTATCCCACTTGACCTCGTTTTTTGCCTTTAATTTTTCCCCCACTGCAGAGCCTGCTCCCAGGCTACATGTATGTCATTAAGGATGCAGTTGAGGAGAATTATGAAAGTGATAATGACTCATGATTATTGAGTATGCAGTACCCTCATTAGCACTGAATTATTCCTGTAAAAAGTACCAAATCATATTTGTGTAGATGCATGAGAAACAAATAATCATGCAAGAGTGAATTTGTATGAAAATCAGGTCCACATACAAGTAATGTTGAAGGTGATCACTTTTTCAATTCTTAACATGCATGAGTTTGTTGAGACGTGAAAAGAATTAATTTTCCTGGCATGATAACACATGTCACACACTAATATTGTGTGTTGCCTATTCCTGCATCAAAAAAGATAATATTGACTGTAAACTTCAAGCATTGCCTGATCTTCTCGACACTTTTTGAAGCGTTGGCAATCGGTGTTCCCTCTCTTCAATAGTTTTGGTTGCAGTGTAATTGTAGTATTTTGCCTCTGTACATGTACATCTTTAAGGTTGCTGTGCTAAGCAACGTTCTCTCTGCTTAGCGGATGTGTCCTTCGATCCTCTCACCGATGAATTTTAATGGGCGTTCTCCAGAGGAGTTTCGGTGGAAAATCTTCCTAGGCGAGGATTTCCAGCCACTTGCTGTGAATGTCATTCTGTGTCATTTGCATGGGAAGTTGCTCATGAATCACCGATCGTAAACATTGTTTCACAGACAATGAATAAACACATCAGCCTTTCATGAATAAAGCATGAAAATGCGCCCTGGTCATCAGTGGCAAAGTCTATGTTGCCTGGAAATGCAAAATGCTACATGACATCATTGGCAGATACCAGGCATACAAATTATTCACAGAAAGGTAAATGTAGAAAGATGGGGCATCTGAATTTGCATCTGGCTAAGACCAAGCATGCGTGACAAGATTATAATCTCACTTCGTGAGGAAAAATATGTCCTCCAGGGAAAAAGAAAGTTTGAAAGCTGAAAGAGCCAAGGCTTAACCTTGTTTACAAGCAAAAATCTGCAGGCTGTCACTTCATTTAATTTTGTGAAGAACGAGTTGTAAGCTTACATGTACATGTTGTTGGATTCGCTGATTCATAAGGCATATGGCTTTTTAAATAAAGTTTTGCAGGAAATAATCTCTCTGTCTGTTATTTTACAAGTGTTTGTTCATTCATAATATTACTTGAAAACACAATTGTGAGACAACAGAATATAAGCTGAATTTAAACTTATGTTCCGCACATTAACGCACATCAAATCTTAAAATTTTTACACTTAAACAATTTTTACTTTCTGGCTTGTCTGCCCTCAAACTCAAGTAAGTTTACCACCCAAATGGTAGTACGGTAGTACTGAGAAGTACCATTTTATGAAGTGACTCCAACTTCACAACGAAGCACGATTTGAGATGAATGAAACTATTTCTAAATGTCATTTACATAATATTATTGTCTTTCACCAAGGTTAGCTGCCTTTATACTTTTACTGTTTAGATAATTTACTTGGCCTTTCTTTAGGAAAAGAGCTGGAAAGACTACCATGATAATAGGCTCTGCAG